ATGGAGCTGGAACATATTCTTCTTAGCAAAGTATCTCAAGAATGGAAGAAAAAGTACCCAGTGTACTCAGCCCTACTATGAAACTAATTTATATACGCACCCACCCTTCCATATGAAAGCTATAACCTAACTATAGCCTAAGATGAAGGGGAAAGAGGAGAGGGAGGGGAGGGGATGGGGAGGATGGGTGGAGGGAAGGTAATTGGTAGGACTGCACCTATGGTGCATTTTACAAGGGTACATGTTAAATCTACTAAGGGTAGAATATAAATATCTTAACCCAATAAGAAAATGTGGTGAAGGCTATGTTAACCAGTTTGATGAAAGTATTTCAAATCGTATATAAAACTTGCACATTGTTCCCCATAATTGCATTAATGTACACAGCTATGATTTAAGGAAAAAAAAAAAAAAAGAAAAGAAAACTTGTGTTTAAATGGTAAAGCTTAGTATGCTCCAGCACCAGGAAGAGGAGAAGAGCTGCTGCTTGAGAGATGGGTTCCTGGCTCGGCTAATGATAAAGCTGCCAAACACTGTTCCAGTGCCAGGCTCTGAACCAGCCACACCAACTGTGGTTGCCCCAGCACCAATAAACTTGGCTGTTGTGTCAATGTTCCAAGACACAACAGTGGTCTGAAATTCCTTGTCTGGCCACCCGGGGTGGGAAGCTGTTGCAGAAAGGCTTGTTTAGATGAATTCTCTGGACTATTCAGGAAGGAGGCAGACACAGGCCTGATTAGACCCCAGTACAAAAGTGGGTCAGAGCCACAAAAATGGGTAGTGCCCTGGTGGTTTGCCTTTTTTTTCAATCCCTCCCTCTTTAGCCCTCGGTCTCTAGTCTTTTTGAAAGTCATGCTTTTATCAAATTTGGGGCGTTTTTGGCCACTATTTCCTCAAATATTCTTTTCATACCTTTGTCTCTCTCTTCTCCCTCTAGAATTATTATTATGTGCACATTGGTGTACTTGATGGTGTCCCATAGGTCTCTCAGGCTCTGTTCATTTCGTTCTTCTTATCACATTTTATCGCTATGCTTTTCTCATTTGCTTTAGTTCTTTATTCTTGCTTAATCTCTTTTATAACATTTCTTTACATTCTTTGTAAGAGACTGAGTCTTGCCCATGCTGAACACAAATTGCTGAGCTTAAGCAATCCTCCTGCCTCAGCCTCCCAAGTAGTCAGGACTACAGGTGCCTGCCACAATTATCTGCTTTTTTACGTTCTTTGAGCATATTTAAGACAATTCATTTAAAGTCTTTGGTAAATAATACTTAGGCTTCCTCAGAGGCTACTTTCTATATATTTTTTAATCCTGTCAACATGCCATACTTCTTGTTTCTTTGCACACCTCATAATTTTTGTTGAAAACTAAACATTCTGAGTAACATAATGTAGCAGCTCTGGAGACCAGAATCTGCTCTTTACCAGCTAACAAGCTGCTGAGGTGGGTTGTTGCTATATTGTCTGTTCAATGACTTTTCTAAACTCTTTTTGTATTCTTTATACTATGGAGAATCCCGCAACACTTAGCTGGACCAGTTAAAGCCCTTCCTTAGTTGTTCTGTTTGGGCAGAGCCTGAAGATCAGCCAGAGTGAAAGGCGCTTAGGACCATCAAAGGTGTTTTCTGAGCATGTGTCCAATATTATGAATGCAAATGGCTTTGTCAAT